TCGATTAATTCATCGATGCATATAAAAATATTTCCATTATTTAATTGTAAAAACCGACACAGTCACACAAAAGCCAAAAAGTTCATGCATCGACAATGCCAACAGACCAAATTTTTGCTCCACACACCACCCATTTCGCCTTCTTTACAGATCATGCACACGTGTGCCTCTCTCTCTCTCTCTATATATATATATATACACACACACTTATATACAGATCACGTTTATTTATTTAAATCTTATCTTCAATACGTCCTCTTTCAAAACCAAGCATCATATCAAATTTCTTGGCACGATCCCTCATGGGAAAGCAAAGTATTACATTGAAAACTGACTATGCAATTATAGCAAAAGGTTAAGAAGTCGAATTACTATTCGTCCCCTTTTCAAGAACGTGCATCACGTTAAATTTCTTGACATGGGCTCTCATTAAGAAGTAAAATTTCATAGTGAGAATGATTGTGCAACTTCGATAAAAGGTTAAGAAGCCAACTTACACTTTGAGTCCACTAACTTATTTAGAGAATCTTTGTTTATAAAATCTCTATTCACAATTATAGAAATAATTAGAATTTAATCTTTTGTCTCCTCGAGTTGAGATTGAGACCTAAAATTAATGGCTGGCACTTGAGAATGAAGTGTAATAAATCGCAAATAAACGTATATTTTGTGCACGGGATTCATTGAGATTGCAGAAAATTAAGAGTGGAGACACTGACTAGAAAAAACTTCACTGAATCAGATGTTCCGAATATTGTATCTATATATAAATTGTAATGTACGTCCGTATATAAAATATTTCCAGGTTGCTGCATAGATATAAACTTGGAACACGTGCACAAGCATCCCGTTTATGATTTTTTTTTAATCATTGTTGATGGTAAAAATGAAGTTACTAATCAATTTGAACAGATAACGGTCTTGTATTCGCTGGAATTTACTGAAATTTATAATTATACAAAGAGAATTTCTTGAATTTCCCTTATCATTCACCTTTCAAGCGGTCAACTCACAATTTTTCAATCTAGGGCTGTGTGCCACCGACCTTTTGAGGGAATCTAATGAAGATACAACACCGACTTCAATTGAAGATTCTAAATTTTTGTGGGTTTTTCCATCCTATATTCTACTATCAATTTCTTGAACCTTCTTCATGGAAGGTCATTGTCTTTATATTTGAGAGGTCTGATCACTTAATTGACACTTGAACTGTTCATCATCGGTAATCTAGATGAATAACTGACAACTAATTGTGACTTTCACAAATCTAATAGAGTTATCATCAATTAAAGGGGGGAAAAAAATAAAAATGCTACCACAGAAAAATAAAATAATAAACTTATATTCTGGTGAAGTGAGAAAATGGAAATTACAGGCCAATAGTTGTTAAAGATTACAATTCATAAATTAACTATGAAGTTTATTTGTTCACTTATCATGTATTAGTATAATAATAAAATATTAAATATCTTAACCCAATTTAATCCCAAACCCTAAAAATAATTTCATTCTATTCTCACTCTCCATCTTCTATCTTCCCACTCTCTTCCACCTATCCTCGTCCCCTTAATCCAGTGACAATGACACATCCACTTTTGGAGACTGTTGTCACACACACGATGGCAATGCACCTTCTGTCGAAGATCGTCACCACACACACACATACACTCTTTCTCTTTTCACTCTCTCTCTCACTCCAAAGCATCATGTTGAGTGCCAACTCGCAGCGACGTTCTATCCATTGCCAAAGATGGCGGAGTTCACAATGGCGATGCACCCTTTGTCCAAGATTTCCGATGCACTCATTTTCTCTTCACACTCTCTCTCACTACCGAAGCATCACGTTGAACACCAGCTCATAGAGGTGCTCCACTCACTACCAAAGATGGCAAAACTATGAGCGCTACTGCCCGCGAGCTTTTACAGTACTACAACAGCAGCGATGCTATGCAACGACAACAAGTAACAGATTTTTTGGTTTTTTTTTTTTTATCGTTGGTGATTTGCTTGGTTTTTGGGTTGTTAGTGGTAGTGGTGGTTGTGATGGAGCATTATAGCGGTGGTGGAGGTGGGTGATGGTGGCTGGAGATTTGATAGCAGTGGTGTTGGTGGTAGTGTCGTGGTGCGATGTGGTAGTGGCGTTGGTGGCGAGGTGAGGATGGTTGCAAGTGGTCGTGGTGGCGGTAGCGATAACAATGGCGATAGTGTTTGTGGTGGTGACCAACTATTTGGTGTATGAGACCAATTATTTGGTTATATTTAGTTGTGACCTAAAAATTCGATAATTTGTGATTGAAAAAAATTTGTGACCAATTAATTTGAAAATTTATAATCGATTAATAAATTTAAACCTTTAAATTTTTGGATTTGTGATCGATAAAATAATCTATAATCAATTAATTTGATCATATGTGACATTGTAACCTATAAGTACGCATTTGTGACAATTTGTTGTATAATTGTGACCTTAATATCTTTAATTAATAAAATATTTTTAATTAATTAAGATTTGAGTTTTAAATTTTGAAACTTAAAACCTAAAAATTGAATTGCCCCATACTTGATGCTTGACTTGTAAATTTTTCCCTTCTTAAAAAAGGGATAATTAGGCCCAATACGGCCCATTAATTAAAAAATTGATAACTACCCTTTCACTTTGTAAACTTTCGTTACTCGTACAATATATGTTCTCAAAAGAAAGATGAATGCAATTCAACCCCAACCAACCCCTAAATAAGTGATTTCTCTTTGCCTAATCCGGGTGATTTACCACACACAGGTTCCTTGACTTTTCTTGAGATAAATTGGTTGCGCCTCTTTTTGCTTCTCTTCATGGCAACTATGACTTTTGTTTGTGTGGCTATCATTCTTCTCTCTTCGGTCAACGCTCTAATCGGCGCTTGAGCATGAGACTTTGGCCTCTATCTCGTGCATTTTTCCCCTACTCACCGTCCCTATTTGGCTACCTCTGTGTGTAGTGTTTTGGCCGATTCTTAGGTTATTCTTCTGTGATATTTGAGTGAGTAGTCTTGGTCCAATCTGGGCAGTATTGCTATGTGATTTTGGCCCTTGATCTGAGCCCGGATTCATCCACTTTTGGAGCCAATCAATTGGAGTTCTGATAGTAAATTATTGTTATTTCATTTACTCAATTAATTCTCATTGTCAATTGATTATATAACTAACTTTGTGTTGATTATTTGGTTGTTTGGTGATGATTTCTCCATAAACTGGTATCAGAACCAAATTTTTTTTGGCTCCCTGACTTTGAAATCGAACATTGTGTGTTGAGAATTAATCTGATGTTAAACTGAACGTGTGTTTGTGGCACAAATGTTGATGGCAAATGTTGTAGAGTTCATTAAACAATGATTATGAATATCCATTAGCCTTTATCCGACCTATGTATTGAGTTACAAATATCGTGTTATGATTTCGTCCACATAATCCCCTGTCCCCTGATTTGGAGCTCTGCTAGTACAGCAGGAAATGACACAGTTATGAGTGGGGCTTTCCTTGGTCTCCTTGGTAACCTAGTCTTTCTAGATTTTGAAGGGTATGGATATAAATCCACACCCTTGATCACCACAATCTTAGTTTAGAGCCTCCAAATCTGTGTGGTCTTTTTTTTGGGGGAGGAGTAATAAAAGGATAAAAGAAAAAGAAAAAAAATTGTAAATTCACACAAGGAGTGGACTATAATTAGCTCTAGAGGCAAATATACAAATCACTATTGTGAGAGTGAGGGATGATGGTCTATTTTGACTTAAACGTGGAAGTTTTTATTGTTGAGGCTCTATCAAAAGAGATTATCACTTTTTGTACATTTTTTTTTTCAATTTTTGTCAGTTTTTTGAAAATTTGTCATTTTATTGAAATTGTTTACCAAAAGTCTTAACAAATATACTAATTATTCAATGAGAAAACCACTATCATACTATTTTAATCACTTTTTTTAGTATTTGTCACTTTCTTTTTTTGAATTTCGTCAATTTTTAAAATTTTCTTCACTTTTTCTGGAGAGTTTATCACTTTTTTATGTTTTGTTACTTTTTTTTAAAAAAAAAATAAAATTTGCGTCACTTTTTTGAGTTTGTAACTTTTTTCGAATTTTTGTTACTTTTTTTTTTAATTTTTGCACATTTTTTTTTTTAAATTTTGTTACTTTTTGAATTTTTTTACTTTTATTTTCTGTTGCTTTTTCATTTGTGTAACTTTTTTAGTTAATGTCACTTTTTTAAATTTCTAACACTTTTTTTTTCTTTTGGATTTGTCACTTTTTTTTTTTTTTTTTTTTTTTTTTTTTTTTTTTTTTTTTAGCATTTATCACTAATTTTAGTTATGTTCTTGATTTCTAACACTTTTCTTAGTGACAAATATTAATTTTTTAATAAAAAAGTGACACTTAATTTTTAAAAGTGACATTGTGTCAATTTTTTTAATTAAAAAGTGATAGTTTTTATTTTAAAAAAGGGACATTGTATTACTTTTTAATATCACCTAGTATTTTTTTTTTTTTTTACTTTAAAAAAACTTTTCATATGATTTTTAAAAATGATCATAATTTTAAAGATATTTTTGTAAGTTGTCCCTTCAAAAGTTGGAACAACTTTCAGGCCCAAGCCGCCCGACTAAGGAAGAATCTGGATTGAAGGGCGTATAAATCTGGACAAAATACTTAAAAAAGAATTCAATTTTCCAGTCCATTATCCTCTTTCCCCCATTCCCCTTTCCTCCCCAATCCAAATTACTCAGCTAGGAAACCCAGAAATTTCAAATCCTACATAAATTTCGGGTGTAGAAACCTAATTTTTTGATATTCTTGTGAAGGAAAATGATGTGGGAAGAGTTTTACGACTATTTCCAACACCACAACGACGAAGAATCGGAAGGCGGAAATAATGTCAACTTCGATTTTTCTTCAGTTTTATACAAGCCCAAGGTATTATTTTATCTATTTAATTTTGCGTTTCCGAACTGTATTTATTGAAAATTTCACCGATTTTTCCTTTCTCGTTTTTTGTTAATTGTGTTTTCTTTTGAATTTGGATGTTTAGGATTATTATAAAATATTGGAAGTGGATTATGATGCCACAGAGGAAGTTATTCGGTCCAATTATATCCGTCTTGCTTTGGTACGTAGATCTCTCTCTCTAATTGTAAGCCAAGTTATCGAATTCTTATTTGATTTAATTTTCTTTCCTCCTTTCTCATTGCGTAGAGATGGCACCCGGATAAGCTAAAAGATGAGGACAGTGCGACTTCAAGATTCCAAGAAATCAACGAGGCTTACCAAGGTATTTTCTTCTTCTTCATCGTTTTATATGTGGGCGTGCATGTGAAGGATAGATTTTTAATCAATCAATACTGTGTTGTGCAGAAAGTTCTTTTGCACAACATGGCAGTGATACTGCATTTCTATGTTGTGCAGAAACTTCTAAAAGGCCAGCCCTTGTATTCAGAGGCTGAAACTTTCGGAAATTCTGTAAAATGTTTTGAAAATTTTTAGAACTTTTATAGTTTTTTTAGGTTTTATATAATTGGGAACTTCAGAAATTTTGAAAACTTTGTGTAGGAATGAAAATTAATGGCTTCAAGTCGGAATTAAACTTAATTGTTCACGTGAACAGTTGAACTAAGAACATACTTTTTTATTTGATTTACCCCTTGCACAACAAAAATATTATAGAGTAATTAGATGTTTTACTAGAATTATGACTTATTTATTTTAAAAATTTTGTTTTTAAAGCTCTGCATACTTTAAAATATACCTTTGCAGTATATATTTGTAAAGCGAATTGGAGTATGTATTCTTCTATTAATTGAACAAGAAGAAACAAGTTGACTCGAATTCATGTTCAGGATTTTGATTTTGTTAGTAAGAACTGATTATATGAACCGTGATTTAGATATTTATTTTGATGTAAATGAATTTAAAGCGATTTACTTTGAGAACTTACAGTACTTTGCGGGATATTTAACTCTTCTGATTATTCCTGGGAATAAGTTGAAATCACTTTTCAGGGATTGCTGCATGTGTAAAAACTTTGCTTTTTCCCTGAGTTCCTTTACGGTTTACAGTATTTAGAAACACGTTCTCTCTCTCTTTTATTTTCTTTTTATGAACTTCAAGCAACCATACTTCATTAAGGAACATCGCTGAGAACCATTAGGAATAGAATCACTCCACGTGAAATCTCGAGAAGTGTTAAAACTAAGCCCTTGTTTGATCCCCATTTCGGGGAAAATAATGCATTTTGAATAGTAGATTAATGGAGAATATGTGGTTAAAAATTAAAGAAAAATTTTAGATTTGCGTATAATATTATTTTATTGAAGAATGTGTGGTTGAAAATGAGTTTTGAAAAAATGAATTTTTAGAATAATGAGAATCAAACAAGGGTTAAGGATGCAAGTTCGTGGATCATCCTGGGTACATAGCAACATGAACCACAACCCCCCACCTCCATTAAAGTTACAATATCTGAAAAAATTAAAGCATTTGGCGCTAAACTAAAATCAACAATTTAAGCTTTGGACTACATGAAGAGCATCACATTCAGCCTGCAATTGTTGAAAACCTGTCTCCTTGGCAAGCAGTAGGCCTTCCCTGAGAGCTATAGTTTCGGCATCTTCTGGTGTGACATTCCAAATAATTTTCCGACCTCGTGCTGCAACAGCCACACCCGTACGGTCTCGTATCACGGAGCCTAAGCCAACCAAACCTGCACCTACTTGTAGCACCCATCTGTATAGTCACCCTGATTTGGAGGTTTCCAGGTATACACATTAGATGTAGAAACTGCACGTGATCTGATCCCAGTTGCCCTATTAAAGCCTTGCAATAAAGCAACTTCTTCATTCATGTAATCCTGTTACTGCCCTGAATCACCCTGTTTCTTTCCACTTAAAGTAACCACATCAGGCAGTTCACAAAGGCACGATCCAACTGGGGACCGTCCTGAAATGAAATCATGTCTGTTATGATTCTTCGAAGTTTATCATTGGTCATTTTAGATGTGTACAATGCCAGTTTTTTTTTAAAGATATGCAGCCATATCATTATTGAGTATATGATGTTGTTTAACGTGTATGAAGCCAATTAGAAAGGATAAGGCTTCGCATTTGTCATCTTTTCAGAGACTGATTAATCTCTCTGTGAGTAGTTGGTAGCTTCTTAGACATGAATTGCGAACAATCTTTCTACATGATTGACATCTATGATCTAACTGATTTTGAACTTCTCAATTCTTTGAAACAGTTTTGAGCGATCCTGGGAAACGACGAGAATATGACAAGAAAGGGATGCTTTTTGCCTATGATAACAATGTCATTGTGAGATACCTTGCCTGTTCTGAAACTTTACAATATCCTTATTGGTTCATCAGAATTTTAAAGTCATTTGTTCTTTCCTCATTTATTGTTGTTTCAATATGCAGGATTACCTGCATCGTTACAAGGGTCTTATTTTAACTTGCAACGGTCTTGGCATGAAATGTTCGATATGGTAGAACTCAATAATGCAATAATGGATTCACAAACGAAGTTGGATCGGAGTGCAGTTTATACGTGCTAGGATCGTAGATGCAGTGTGGCTATATTTTTGCGGTATATTTTCTACTGATCCTCAATGCGGCAGGCATATTTGGTGGAAATTGCAGGCCCTAATTTAGAAGAGGAATGCAGCATGCCCTTTCACATCCATTAGCTTTTGTTCATCTGTACAAATGGAAATGACTAGTGTAGACTTATGTTCTTACTGTGAAATCAAGTTGTGGGTTTCTATTTGTATGAAATTTAGAGCATTCTCTCTAATTTAATTGAAAATAACCTTCAAAAATTCTATTTTAACTTTTTGTTAAAATGGAGTTGGGTTTTAAGTTAATCTCACTCTCTGTTTCCATTTTATAATTATTATACTTAGCCTCTGTTTGAACTTCATTATTTTTGAAATATAATTGTTCAAAATTCATTTTCAATCACATATTTTTTTCATAAAATAATATTCTACGTAAACTCGAAAATTTTCTTGTCTTTTAACTACACATTAATTATACATTTTTCAAAAAGTCACTATTTCAAAATACATTTTTTTATTCTCAAAATTACATTAAAATGGAGCCAAAAGAGGGGCTTAATAAGCTACAAATTCAATATAATATTTTTAAATTTATTTAAATCATATTTGAATTGATTGTGATTTACATACAAAAGAATATGTTAAATAAAAAATAATAGTAATCAACAAATATTTTTTTGACAAATGTAAATTGAAGAATCGGGGTCGAGAGTATTATGTATAAAATGATACTTTTTTAATGTCCTATATTCACTGGTACCCTTTTTTGTTTCATCAAAATATCAACTTCTTATTATTTGTTGATATTAAGTTGCCGAAGACTTGACAACACTGATGATTATAAGAAGATTCACCTCGATTGGTATTAGTACTCGTTTTGATCTAAATAATCAAAAACGGATGCAGGGTTTCGTACAAAAAAGACATATATAACATTTGCACGCAAAAATCCACAAAAGTGGCTGTAGTTTAGTGGTAAGAATTCCACGTTGTGGCCGTGGAGACCTGGGCTCGAATCCCAGCAGCCACATGTTTTTGAATCAATTGTGAGTTTTTAATTTGTGCACAATCTCACGCAATTAATCTCTCTCACTCTCTCACACACACATTATTTATAGAAATTCTTGAACCAGTTTTTTACATGGCTCACTGGAGTCTCGCCATGTTCATTGCACCACCCAAATCAGCCAGAAGCTCACGGACGGATTCTCGCCTTGAGTTCTTATCGAACGTTATTTATCAAGAGCAATGTGCAGAGATTTTTTCTCAAAGTTATTTAAAAAAAAATGTATAGAACGTTGAAGTAACAGGGCATAACTCAAAAGAATAAAGGAGACGGAAAAAAAAAAAAATAGAAGAAGAAGCTAAACTGTTACTGATACAAACACAACTATAGTCGTAAAAAACCGTTCGACCTCAAAGCCAGGGATTGAACAATTCATTACCACGTTCAAAGTGAAAGAAAAAATTCGTTCTTCTCATCATCCCATAGAATTCAACCTGATATCCTAGTACAATTACATAGTTTGCAAAACAACCTTTGATCAATTAAGAGATGCATAAGTGTACGATTCAAGAATCAACCCTTTTCTCTCTTCCTAGTCAACTTCTAGATATTTGTAAAGTTGCTTATCCCTTTCGAAAACCTCCCTCTCAAACTTTTTTGACCCGAAAGTATAATTAGGAGAAGCGCTTACTAATACCTCCTTGACTTTTCAAATGCTTGACCC